CCCAACTCACTAAGTGATTTAAATCCTTTTGTAAATCAGCAGCATCCTCTTCACAACTAGCAACACCCAAGACCTTAATATGATATGAAAATGTAAGTAATTTATTGACCATTCCTTCATCTATGTCATTGATGTAAATCAAAAAGAGCAAAGGTCCTAAGACTGAGACCTGAGGTACCCCACTTGTGACATTAATCCATTATAACTGAACTCCATTTATAACAACCCTCTGCTTTCTTCCATTCAGCCACCCCTCTATCCAATTTGCTAACTTATCCTCCACAACTACAGAGATAATTTTTTTATGAGACTTTTATGTGGCACCTTATCAAATGCCTTCTGAAAATACAGATACACCAAATCTACACTCTTACCCTCATCAACATAAGCAGTAACCTTTTCAAAGAATGTCAAAAGATTTGTAAGGCAAGATTTTCCCTTAGTGAAACCATGTTGACTATTCAATAAAATTCTGAACTTTGTTAAATGACTTTGCAAAGCATCTTTTAACAGACTTTTAAAATTTTTTACCACAACTGGTGTAAGAATAATGGGCCTATAATTACTGGTACAATTTTTATCACCTCCCTTGAAAAGAGGAGTTACATTAGCTTACTTCCAATCCTCTGGTACCTGCTCACTATTCAAGGACTGACAAAAAAATGATAGTAAGTGGCTCACATATCCAGTCTTTAACATCCTTCGAAGCCCTTGGAGAAATATTATCTGGCCATGGAGCCTTATTGTTTTTTTTAAATTCCCAATCTTCTTAAACTGCTTAAATCTTCATTATTAAAAACCAAAGAAAAGCAAAATTTAATAACTCGGCCATCTCATAATCATCAGATGCAAGCCTTCCTTTATCATCCCTAAAGGGTCCTACTCCCATCCTAACATTTTGTTTACCCTTAATGTATTTAAAGAAATCCTTACTGTTTATTTTTACATTTTCAGCCAACCTTTTCTCATACATCCTTTTTGATGTCCTAATTTCCTGTTTGACCAATTTTCTTGATCTTCTATGATCTCCTGTTATACCAGTCAATTTAAATTTCTTAAATTTATGATGCTTCTCTTAACCTCTTTGTGAGCCAACCTGGTTTTTTACTTGCAGCTACCCTTTTCTTTCTATAAGGAATATGTTTACCTTGAATATTTAAAAATTTTCCACATCTGATCAGTGTCTCCAAATTACTCAGCTGCCCAATTCACAACAGATGATTCTTGTTGCATCCCTAAAAATTTGTTTTTCTGAAATTTTTAAACAAAATATCATTATTCCTTATTTCTGTATGCAGCAAAACATTGAACCTAATAGAGCAATGATCACTTGAATCCGGATATTCCCCAATTTTCACTCTCTCGATCATTTCTATATTTGAAGTTAACAATAAGTCTAAAACAGCATTGTTTCTAGTTGCTTTCTTGACTAATTGGTAAAGAAAGCCATCCTGAACAGTTTCCAAAAACCTTTCTCCCTCATGGTTTGACTATCATTTCCCAATCTATGTGCATGAAATTAAATTCATTCGTAATTATGACTTCATTAACAGCTGAAATCTTAACCTCACTGTAACAAATTCCCACTAAAAGCCTTTTCCCTTTATATCCACTAATAGGAACCCAAATGGATTCAATCTCCTTCTTATTGTCTTTGATATCCTCAACTTCAATAGGATATAACTCACATTTTACATATAACGCCACTCCTCCTCCCCTCTTTAATACTCTATCCTTATTAAATAGTTTGTAACCCTGTATTTCAAAAAACTTCTGTCATCAAAATCATCTACATTTAACCATGTTTCAGTTATTCCCATTGTATCAAAGTCCTCCATTCCAACCAGTGCTCTAAAGTCATCTATTTTATTTCTTATACTTCTAGCATTACAATAGTAACAGTTAAGCCTATCCTTATAACTACTTCTATATTCATCTCCTATGGTAAACTTTTCTCAGCCTCTTATTCTTTTTGCATTTAGTTTTTTCTGGCCCTCACCACTGTCTTGTCCTAGTTTAAAACTTCTCTTACAGCTGAGTTAATAACCTTAGCAAACAAGCCAGACCCTACCTTATTTAAATGTAAACCACCCATTCCTAAAAGCTCCCTTCTCCTACTGAACTGATCCCACAAGTCCAACTGGTCATCATTATATAGTAATCTAAGCCTAATAGTACTAAAGTCTGAGGATGTTTCTAAGTTCTAGGAGTAGGATAACATTTAAGCAGTATTTTTATAATTGAGATAATTAATTAATTAACAACTTTTTACTGTGACTTATAAACAAACAATTTGTTATATTTCAATAAAACTGTTTGTAGCAACTGCATTGTCTACTTTTAATTATAATATCCATGCTTAGTTTTTTTTTCTGTTATCTTTTCATACTGTACACACTGTTTTAATGTTTTGTCTAACCTTGTCAGTATGTGATTTTTACACAGTTAAATACTGATGTTTTACTTCCATAAAGTTTATGCATGTGCATGTGAAATTGCAGTGGCTCATAAAGCATTAACTTTTTTTTTTCAAAATATTTTGTTTTATGTTTTAATTCAAATAGAGTCCAGGAATTTCTAAATTCTAATTTTTTCACAATATGGGGTATGGACATAAAGAATATATTTTGGAAACTTGAGAGCTGATTGTTCCACCACAAGACAGATGATGTTTGAAAATATAATGAGTTTTCAAAACATTTTCTTTACACTCAACTTTACCCGGTGCTTTAATGTATTAGCCATACAGTTTAGTTGCTGGTACCAAGGAATATCCTGTTTTTTATAGTGCATGTTGGAGTGAATGATGTTAGAAATTTTAAATAGGAAGAACACTTTGAAATTATAAAGTATATTCTTTAGAAGTTTAAGGATAGAAATAGGTTTGTGACACTTTCGGAAGTGCTTTCTCAAGTTGGGTGCAGGATTAAATTACTTAGCAGGATATAAGGTTTAAATGAAAGATTATCCGCAATAAGCTTTGAGCAACAGGTGGGCTGTTCTTACATGTAAGACAGTTCTCAAGGTTATGGAGAATTGTTTTTACAGAGAATGGCCTTCACCTAAGCAAGCTAGGCAGCATATTGTTAGGGGAAACTAAGGAATTTAATTTAATTTGGTTTAAACTATATTTACATAGTGATGAGGTAGTTTGGGAAATTGGAAACAGAAAGATAATTTTATAAAATTTTAAAGGGACATAAAGAAGCTTATTAGCCCATCCAGGATGACCCTTCCAGCTCCCGACTAGAATCACTCCTTACTACTCATATTCATCCCCATCCAGGATGACCCTTCCAGTTCCCGACTAGACGAAGCTTATTAGCCCATCCAGGATGACCCTTCCAGTTCCCGACTAGAATCACTCCTTACTACTCATATTCATCCCCCATCCAGGATGACCCTTCCAGTTCCCGACTAGACGAAGCTTATTAGCCCATCCAGGATGACCCTTCCAGTTCCCGACTAGAATCACTCCTTACTACTCATATTCATCCAATCTTTTCTTGAACTCAGTTAAATTTTCTGCCTACACCACCCTTGAAGGCAGCTCATTCCAAAAGCCAGCCACCTTGTGTGAAAAGTAATACTGTTATAACAGCAGAAAACTCCTATGCTGCCAAAATTTAAATTGATGACCCCTTGTCTTATTGTTTTCACTGCTAAACACAAAAAAGCTAGGACAAAGAGG